TAATGATCCTATTTCTTGATTATCCAATTTTAGATGTCATCTAATGATATCCTTGTAAGAGTTATGGTCATTCACATCTGCAGTAGTAATCCCTTAAAAATACAGGAAGACAGGGGAACTCTGGTGGTCTAGGGCAAGAAGTTGCATTGCAATCTCAGAAGTACGTGGTTTGAATCCACCTGATGCTCTGCTAGAGGAGGGAAAATCTGTTACAGGAGGAGATCAGATGTGATTTAACGGTACACACACACAAAATGATAAAATACAAAAAAATACAAGAAGATATACGCATATGCACACACAGACATACTTCCTATCGTTCATAATTTTTTGTTATATCAATATTATGCTTATGTAAATATTCAGTGATAAAATTGTTTCAACTTTTATACATGTTTTTATTTTAAAATGTACATATTTTAATTCCAAATTTTCTAGATTATTGCTCGGGTGTATATTTCAAACTCTTAGTAATCATTACCATATTATTATGAAACCTTAGGTAATGAATAATTTTCTTTTGTTTTTGGAATTTTTGTTACATGTGTTTTATCCATCCTGCCCTTTCAGAATTGGTTGACCACTAGACCTGGCGTCCATTAGTTTTCTTGATAGTTTCCTAGTGTGGATTCCTCCCCCAGAATCCCTACACTACACCAGTGCGTTGTCACATTATCTGCAGTGCACGCTGGCTTTCTCACAGTCACCCTCCCTTACAAGACAAACTCACTTTCTCCCTTCATGGATTCCAGCCATATGCCTTTGTGTTGGCAGCACAGTTTCTTATTTACTAGGCCACTAGAGCTCCATCACAGAAATGTAAATAGTAAGGATTTTTCCAAGAGAAACAAGATAGAAAACGCTAGTAATTTATTGTCAAGTGCCATCTAAGTCGTTCACCTGCCCTTCAGCTGTACTCATACCTGTGACCTCTGGGTGCTTCATCAGAAGTAAGAGTCCGTATCTCAGGGTGGTACTTGTTGTCTCTGTACCAGCTGCAAACAGGTCACTTATCGTCATTATCAAGTTTTCCGTTGTAAATTCAGTCTGTTTATTGTGCTTTTCCTAGGAATATTACCCAAAAGTTTGACAAGTTAGTTTTCTTTTTCTCTCTCTTCATAGTCATTTTAATGTATCAACAAATGCGGGAAGGGCAATCAAGACTAAAGAGGGTGCAATGGCGTGGAGCTGGCACTGGTGCTAGCTACAAAGGTGACTTGTCTACTGAGGACACGTGAGATCCACCTGTGATAAACAAAATCTGAGCTGAAGGCACACATTCTGCATTACTCTGACCTTTTAGCAGACCTTCTGGTCCGGCAGTAGTGGATTGCTCTGAAGTGAATTCAAATGGCCAGTGAGGAGAGCTAGCTGTAGGTCTGTCATGTTCACAAAATAAAATGCCATTGATGTAGTGAAACCGATCTCCCGGGACCGGGCAATTCCGGCAGGTAGAGCATGTAAAACATTTAAGATGATACACATTGCCTTGCGCCCTCATGACGAGTTCACTCGCAGGAATCGACTGTCCACACGCACTGCAAGCACCACTATTCCCAAAGAACCTAATGTAGTCATTTCTGCAAAGGCTCCTGCCACTCTTGGTGTAACAGGACGTGTGGCTGTCGCCCAGCTGTGCCTGGCAGCAGGAGCACTTGAGGCACCGCTAGGCTATGCCAGTAGCTGTCCTGGGCAGAGAGCAGAAAATGATCTGTAATCTTGCCCCTGCTGCCTGCGCACCATGAGAGGGAGCCGACCTTCATCGGGGTCGGCTGCGAGCTGCTGCCTGGATTCACCATGGTTTTTCTCAGGCTATGCTCTGCGGCCATGAGCTCCTCTCAACTTTGCAGCGCTCGTCAATTTCAGCTTTGGTTCTTAGGCTCGAGCAGCGCGCTCCACCCCTAGCGGCGCCTCCTCCCAGCCCCCGCCTCTGCCCAACATCCCCACCCCCCAACCAGCAAGTCACTTTTCTGTGTGTATTTACAATGAGTTAAAAAAAAAAAAAAGTCAGATTGCTATCAAGGTAAGCAAACTTGGAAATTAGAAATTTCTTTTTTTTAGGATGAACTCTTGTACGGTTTGGCAGATGTTATGTGCCATCGAGTCGTTTGCGACTCATAGCGACCCTATGTACAACAGCCCTAAACCCTGCTCTATCTTGTGCCAATGGCATTGCCTCTGACACACCCATCCCGATTACCCCAGTCACTGAATCAATCCACCTCATAGAGGGTCTTCCCCTCCTGTGCTGTCCCTCCACCCTACCAAGCATGATGTCCCTCTCCAAGGACCTGTCTCTCCTTTCAACATTTCCAAAGTATGTCAGACGAAGCCCCAGAATCCTTGCCTCCAAGGAGTAGCCTGGTTTAACCCTCTCCAGGATGAATCTGTTTGTTTTCTTGGCAGTCCATGGTATATTCAATATTCTTCTCCAGCACCACAGCTCAAAGGCATCAATTCTCCTTCTATCCTCCCTAGTCCTTGTACAGCTCTTTGACGCATAACAAGTGATTGCAAAGACCATGACCTGTATCAGGCGCACCTTAGTCTCCAGAGAGACACTGTTGCTCTTGAGTATTTTAGAGAGGTCCCTAACAGCAGACTTTCCCATCGCAATACGTTTTTTGATTTCCTGGCTGCTGATGCCAAGAGTGTTGACCGTGAAGCCAAGCAAACTGAAGCTGTGAACAACCTCAGTCTCTTCGCCTTCCTTCCTGATGCTGCCAATTGGTCCAGTGGTGAGAATCTTTGTCTTCTTGATATTGAGCCTCAGTCCATACTGAAGGCTGCATTCCTTGACCCTCTGCAGCAAATGCATGAGGTTCTCCTCAGTTTTGGCAAGCAGGGCTATGTCATCTGTATAACGCAGATTGTTAATAGATCTTCCACCAATCCTGACTTCTCCTCATAGAGCCCAGCCTCTCGGATAATCTGCCCTGCATACAGATATTAGAGATTTAAAAGCTCTTCATTTTTACGCAGTTCTCATTTTGAGTTCTGAAAAATGTCATTTGCCAGCCTTTTGCAGCCCAATAGGCCCTGCAGTAGAGTTCTTGCCAATGTACTAGAAGCAGAAGACTAGTGCCTCTTCGTCTTTCTTTTTGCTTATTCAGAACAGATAGATATGGAAGTATAGGTGGGGCAGACATTGTCTTGGAACAAGGTATTTTTCAGAATGAATGCGAAGGGCTGTTTACTATGTATGACGGAGCAAAGTGGAAGGTGCAGGCTCTGTGATGCTTCTGGGCTATTCGGCTAGTTCTTATCTGGCCCAATGTGAAATGCCTTGTATGTGAGATACAACCCTTTGTTTAAGCCATAGTGAATGGTAATTCGACTTTTATTTGTCGACAACCACAATGTATTATTAAATATATCAAAAATAATTTTTAAATATTAGATATAATAGTGAAGAAAAACTTGAAATAATATGAGAGCTTGTAGGGCCCTCTTTCACCTGGAATAATTAGCAAGACTTTAGAATCCCCTTTCAAAACTGAGAAAAACACTGAGAATTTGGATTAGTACAATCTTCTGGAAAGGTATCTACATCTTAACCAGAGTAACAGACATCCCCAGAGGGAAAAATTTATTCCTTTTCCTAGAAGAACAGGAGCCAATGAGAGGAAGGGACGTGCTGCTTCCTCTGATTACTTCCATTTAGTCCATATCCTTCACAGTATTCCATTTAGAACACAGGGTTTGAGTGGTCCAATTCAAATCTATGGACAGGTTTTAAAATTTTATCACTCTCATCATCTCTTCTTCCCATTTTGGTCTACTGACTGATTTCTGTTCAAAGTGACTATCATCTGAATCTGTCTCATTGATTAAATTTTACAAAAAAGATCTGTTTTTATACTGAAATGTCTACATTTCCTCTTATATTTTGGTCCTCTCTATAGCCTTTGAGCTGTGGTGCTGGAGAAGAGTATTGAATGTACCATGGACTTCCAAGAAAACAAACAGATCCATCCTAGAGAGGGTTAAACCAGGCTACTCCTTGGAGGCAAGGATTCTGGGGCTTCGTCTGACATACTTTGGACATGTTGAAAGGAGAGACAGGTCCTTGGAGAGGAACATCATGCTGGGGAGAGTAGAGGAACAGCGCAGGAGGGGAAGACACTCTATGAGGTGGATTGATTCAGTGACTGGGGTAATCGGGATGGGTGTGTCAGAGGCAATGCGATTGGCACAGGATAGAGCAGGGTTTAGGGCTGTTGTACATAGGGTCGCTATGAGTCTCAAATGACTTGACGGCACATAACAACAACAACATAGCCTCCTATGACACAAACTCTGGTGATACAATGTGCAATTGCTTGACTGCTTACTGAAAGGATAGCAGTTCAAACTCAATGGCCACAGCAGAAAAGACTTGGAAATCTGTTATTCTACAGGTTTTAACCCAGAATCTATGAAGCAATTCTATCCTATCATACAGGAGCCCCCTGCATTAGAATTGACTCAACAACAAACAGTAGCAACAATCAGCCTCCTGTGACAAAAACTCTTAACTAAATAGAAAAGCCTTCCCAATAGTAGTCACTTGCCAGGGTTTTTTTCATATTTTCTTCTAAAATATACTTCTTCCTTGATTTATTCTCTTCCTATAATTTCTGATAACACAACAAGGTAGAAAACCTTGATCTTTCAAACTCCACATTTTCATGAAATTGAACCAATCTCAAGGAATGAAAAATCTCCCAGCTGGTCTTAATCACTTTTCGTTTCATAGAGATCGTTCTACATAACTCTTGGGATAATTTCCCTAATGGTAATTGGTATTTTTAACTACTCTTTCAGGCATATATCTAATAAAAAAAAACTTTCCATGCTAATATTCATGTTTATAGATTACCTGACAGAAATAAAATCCAGCTTCCAATAGCTGTCCAAATTAAGTTTTATTATAGTCCATTAATTGTTTTGTCTTCCATTCAGTGAATCTCTGCTCCCACACCTCTCTGAACCTCTGCAAACATCATTCATCTGAATGCCTTCTCCAGTCCTTCATTGCAAATATTCCTTCATTCTCCATGCCGTATACTATGTGCAGTAAGCATTTTCACCCTCATTTACTGGCATAGTATTTAACATTTCCAACCTATTTCTAATTGTTTCCATTTGAATTCAAGTGTGTATTTGATTTCTCTTTATGGTTATTTAGAGGGTCTATATTGTTTCTATCCTTAGCCATTACATTTTTTATTTTTCAGTGTTGAATGCAGACCCATGTACATGTTGTTGGACTTTTTGGTTAGGTTCCATAGAATTAGTTCTCACTCATTGACACTATGTACAACAGAAAGATAAGAATCCAAAATGACTTGCCTGGTAATTTAAACATCCCTGTCAAATACCTACCTGCATTCACTACTGCTGACTTGATTACAACTCACGGTGACTGAGGTTGAAAATTTTTATGGGAGGAGATTGCCCATCTCTCTTTCATAGAGACTGCTTAACAGTGCAATATGCTATGCATTGTGCCACCAAAGCTCCTCTGTCAAGTGTAGAACTATCCATTTAACCACAATAAATGTAAGGAAAAAAGCAACTGATCTATCATTCATATCTTACCTTCTCCATTTTAATCAGGAAACAATCAATGAAGTCCCGAGGATTGTTGATGTCTAGGGATTCTTGGTGTTCTTTTACTTTCTCCAAAACATATTTTTTTAAGTAGTTGGTATTACTAATAAATCTGTTATGACTCCCTGGGAAATAATCCATGAGTATGGGGAACATATTGCAGATCTAAAAGAGAAGTCTTTAATAAATAAGCAAACTTATCTTATGAACACATATATGTCTTATATCAAGTTCTGGCTAAAAACTGTACCTTTGAAGATGGGTAAAATATGTTATCCAACTTAAGGGGAAGCTACTTACTATGCATATGAGTTAATTTTCTATGAATACAGAAATATTTGAGGGCTGAAATGCTAAAAATGTTACAGCCAATAATTTTCTATATTTATATATTATATTTATCATATATATCATATTTCAGTAGTCTAATCTTTCACCTCAAATTTCCTTACAACTGTGAGAGAGAAGATGGCATAAATTAGTAGTATTTACATTTTATTACTGGGAACTTAAGGTAAGGAGGTTGGATTATCTGTATCACGTATGTTTCTACCTATATTAATCAACCTCAGAAATAGAAAGAAATTTAAAAATTGATGTGTGCTTAAAATTACAGTGACATCTAATTTAACATTTCATGGATTAAATAACACAATCAACTAAGTGGCTCCTCTAATATCATGCAATTAGCATCTAGACAGAGTGCAGGACATACCACTTGGTACAGACAAAAATGTGGTGCTTGTTTGCCACTCATGCACCATAAATAAACAATTTTCTCATCTCTGAAGTACCCAAATAGGAGGAATCTCAACTAAAGCAGCAAACTATGTTAGGCAGAGCTGTCCAGTAACATCTGTGGTCCCAGACATTCCTCTTCTTTTATATCCTGAATTGGAATATTTCTGCTAAGAAAGTGGAATGAAGAAAGTCACTCGGTGAAGGGAGTACAAGACTTATAGATTAAGAAATGCTGCCAACATGACTTTCTATCTCCACTGAGTGCTCTTTACAAAGTTTCAATGTATTTTATGGGTTTGGAATTTTGCTGGAAAATTACTGACCAGGGAGCCTTTGGGCTTGATGGCAGTTCTATATTGTAAGCAGTTTTCTAGTCTCTAAACATCTCACTGAGGTTCACATCATAATTAACAAGGCTTTTTAGAACTGAAATACTACACATTTCTGGCTTTAACAAATGTGTTTTCTTACACAAACTCATTTATTGCCATAGAGTCAGAACCAACTCAAAGCTGACCATCAAGCAGATTTTCAGAGGTTTTAAATTGCACAGAAGATTGCCCATCTTTCTGCTGTGGAACTGCTGTTGGATCTGAACTTCCAGAAGGTCTTGGCCTTGGATTAGCAGCATAGCTCACTATACACTCTGCTATTCTTATGCAGTAGGAGCACAGAAATTTATGTTCAAACTGGTTAGAACTGCTTTCTTTCTCCAGTCTCTTTGAGCCTTTTATTCCTGTTGTTGTTGTTGAGTACTGTAGAGTCAGAACCAACTCATAGCTGAACCTCCAGTGCGTTTTCAGAGGCAGGATTGCGCATCCTCCCACGGAGCAGCTTGTGGCCTAGAACTATATGCCTTCGGGATTGCAGCACAGCTATTTATCACTAGGCCACCAGAACTCCCTTTTTTTCCCTAAGCTATCTTTATTTGGTTTGAATCTCTTTTCCTCTAGCTCTACATGATAATTTATTTGTCTTCTCTCTTTTAAATCACAAAACAATTTAATTTAAAACACACCATATTAGTCCATCTGTATAGTTTAGAGAGCTATCACTAATAGACCTTGCAGTGATTTGCAGGTTGGTAGGACACTGGAAGACATGTCAATGGTAAATAGCAATGGGCAGGTTTCAGTGAACCTTACAGACTAAAACAGACTAAGAAACAGGATTTGCCATCCACTTCTGAAGTAGCAACCCCCACGAATAACAAAGGAACATTGTTAGATAGAGTACAGGAAGTAAAGTCCCTCAGATTTTAAGATACTAAAAAAATAAGAAGAAACAAATGCACACATCCATTAAAAATCAGAATATGGAATATACGAAGTATGAATCTAGGAAAATTGACATTTGTAAAAAATGAAATACATAAAGAGCAATACCTTCATCATCAGTGAGCTGACATAGACTGATACTGGCCATTTAAAATCAGATAATCATAGATCTATTACACCAGGAATGGCAAATTGAGCTGTTAAACCCACAATGAAGAAGAACGTATCAAGATCTATCCTGAAGTACAATGCAATGAGTGATAGGACTCTATCCAAATGCACACAAGAAAGAACTATTAATACAACTGTTATTGAAATATACCCACCAGCAACTATAGCCAAAGATGAAGAAATTGAGGACTTCTACCAACTTTTGTAGTCTGAAATTCATGAAGATGCATTCATAATAGTGACTGGAATGCAGAAGTTGGAAGAAAGGGAATCCCAGAACACTTGATTGTGATAATGCAAAACCTATACTTGGACCAGGAGGCTGTTGTCAGAACAGAGCAAGGAAATACTGCATGGCTCAAAACTGGGAAGGGCGTACACCAGGGATGTGTCCCATCTCCATACCTTTTCAACCTACATGCAGAACAGATTATCCAGGAGGCTGGGCTCTATGAGGAGAAGTATCGCATCAGGATTGATGGAAGATTCATCAACAATCTGCATTATACAGATGACACAATTCTACTTGCTAAAACTGAGAAGGACCTGAAGCACTTGCTGCAGAAGGTCAACGACTGCAGCTTCCAATATGGCTTGAGGCTCAATATTAAGAAGACAAAGATTATCACCACTGGACCAATTGGCAGCATCAGGATGGATGGTGAAGAGATTGAGATTGTTCACAGCTTTAGTTTGCTTGGCTCCACAGTCAAAACTCTTGGCACCAGCAGCCAGGAAATTAAAAGATGTATTATGATGGGAAAGTCTGCTGTTAGGGACCTCTCCAAAGTACTGAAGAGCAGTGGAAACTAAGGTTTGCCTGATACAGGCCATGGTCTTTGCAATCACTTGTTATGCATCAGAGAGCTGGACAATGACTAGGGAGGCTAGGAGGAGAATTGATGCCTTTGAGCTGTGGTGCTGGAGAAGAGTGTTGAATATACCATAGATTGCTAAGAAAACAAACAGATTTGTCCTGGAGAGAGTTAAACCAGGCTGCTCCTTGGAAGCAGATTCTGGAGCTTCGTCTGACATAGTTTAGACATGTTGCAAGGAGGCACCAATCCTTGGAGAGGGACATCATGCTTGGAAGGCTGGAGGGACAGCACAGGAGGGGAATAACCTCTATGAGGTGGATTGATTCAGTGACTGGGATAGTGGGGGTAGGTGTGTTGGAGACAGTGAGATAGGCAAGGGGCTAGAGCAAGGTTTAGAGCTATTGTACATAGGGTCGCTATGAGTTGCAGGCAACATGACGGCACATAACAACAAGAAGTAAGAGAAGAGCAGACTTTGGGGCAGAAATGAGACTGGAGATTGAATTTTAGACAGTGATTTATTCATTGCAAATATCTTGTTTTAAAATGCAAATGATAACTATACATGTGAATAGTGCATAGTCCACTATTAGTGGTGAATATGTACCACTCATCTGATGGTCTGCACTAGAGTCACACCTATGGAGTAAGTTGATGGTTATTGTTGTTGTTGTTAAGTGCCGCCGAGTCACAGGTGATTCATAGCGACCCTATGAAGGAGAGTCCTCAACTCTTGGGTGTCTTTCATCCTCTCTCCATGTTCATAGGGTTTCCGGAGGCAAGCTATTATGGAAGTGGATGCCACTCCTCCTTCAAAGCTTGCTTTAGTTGGGGAGCTCCACCCCACTCTGTCTGCATTGGTTAACCAGGAATTAATGCATTTGACACATCACTGTCACAGTGTTTAGCCTCACAGCAACCACAACTGACCGCTGTACGGCAACTTGTACACCAGGGGTATACAACCTAGAGTAATGTCTGAACAAAAACAATGAAAGACAGGCCCGAGAAACTCAAAATCAGCAGCAAAACAAAGCCAGGGGCTGACTGTGGACCAGATCGTCAGTTACTCATGTCAAAGTCCAAACTGAAGTTGAATAAAATAAAAACAAGTCCTCAAGTGCCAAAATACGACCTTGACTCAATCTCACCTGGATTTAAAGAACCTCAAGAATAGATGTCATACACTAGTGTTTGAAAACCAGGTAAGCTGTGAGATTACATCAAGGACATCATTCAGAAAGAAAAAAGGTCATTACAAAGACAGGGATGAAAGAGAAGACCAAAATGGATGTCAGAAGAGACTGAAAATCGCACTAACTGTCGAGAGACCAAAACAAAGGAAAGAAATACTGAAATGAAAGAATTGAACAGAAGATTTCAAAGGGCAATTTGAGAAGATAAAGCAGTTTTATAATGAAACGTGCAAACAGCTGGAGTCACTGTGATGTTGTTGGTTTTTTTATTGTTGAGTCGAAACTGACCCAAAGCTGGCCCTCTGGCAGGTTTTCAGAGGCAATTAATCACACAGGAGGAGTTGGCCCGTTCTTCTTCCACGGAGCAGATGGCAGATTCAAACTGCAAGCCTTCAGGAACGCAGCACAGCTTTTGGCACTAGGCCGCCAGAGTCACTGTACCCCACCCCTCTAAAAATGATCGATACTGAACTAAACCATTTCAGGAAGTAGCATATGATCAAGAACCAGTGATCGTGAAGGAAGATGTTCACGCACTGAAAACATTAACAAAAATAGGGCCCCAGGAATTGATGAAATATCAATAAAGATAACACCAGATACCATCTGTCTATGCCAAGATACCTGTCTACCACCAGATATGTGCTTACTAGCCTATGCCAAGAAATGTAGAGTACAGCTACTTAGCCAAATAACTGGGAGAGATTGATATTTATTCTCATTCCAATAAAAGATGATCACAACAGACTGCAGAAATGGTTGAACAATATCATTAATGTCACATGCAAGAAAATTTTGTGGAAGATTATTTTTTAAATGACTGTAATGATTTATTTACAGGTAACTTTTAGAAATTCCAGCTGGATCCAGAAAAGGCTCTCGCAAAGGAATATCACTACTGATGTCAGGTGGATCTTCACTGAAAGCAGTGAACCGCAGAAAAATGTTTATTTGTATTTTATTGACTATGCAAAGGCATTTTTTTTTACTGTGAATCATAGCAAATTATTACTAACACTGAGAAAACTGGGAATTTAGAACACTTAATGGTGCTTATCTAAAACCTACACATAGACCAAGAAGTTGTTCTCCAAATAAAGCAAAGGAACACTGCACGGTTTCAAATTATGATATGCATCTGAGTTATATCCTTTCTCCATACCTATATATTGAACAAATCATTCAAAAACATTCAATCTGTTTACTGAACAAGTCATCAAGAAACTTGACTATATGAAGAAACATATGTCAGGATTGGAGGAAGACTCATCAACAACCTGTGCTATGCAGATGACAAAATCTTGCTTGCTGAAAGTGAACATCAGTTCTAGCATTTGAAGGAATACCAACTCAGGTATTGTAGGACACAGACACAACCTGGATGAGTTCACCAATTTCTGGCAACAAATACGGATGACAGACAACTACCTCGTCAGCTGACCATACAAGAGTCACTGTTGTTGTTGTGTCCGTCAAGTCAGAACACCACCCAAAGCTGACCCACCAGTTGGTTTTTAGAGGCAGTAAATTGCACAGGAGGAGATTGCCCATCTTTCTCCCACAAAGCAGCTGGTAGATTTGAACCGCATACTTTTGAGTTGGCAGTGCAATTTCTTACTACAAGCCATCAGAACTCCCTGGAAGAGATCCATATTTGTACCTATTTCCAAATAAAGGTGATCCAATAGTCTATGCAAATTATCAAGTCATCCAATTAAAACAAGCTTGGAAGCAGGAGTGGCATCCACTTCCGAAATAGCTTGTCTCCAGAAACTCTACGAACTTGGAGAAATGACGAAAGTTATACAAGTGTTCAGATCTCATTCATAGGGTCCCTACGAGTTATTGATGACTTGGCAGCACTTAACAACAATGACATTATTCATATCACCTATAAGAAAATCTTGCTGAAGATTATTAAAAATACATGGAAAAATACATCAACAGTGAACTGTCAGAAATTCAAACTGGATTCAGAAGAAGCTATGAATGAAGGATATTATTGCTAATGTGAGATGTATCTTTGCTGAATGCAGAGAAGACCAGAAAGATGTTTATCTGTGTTTTATTGATTATGCAAAGGCATTTGATTGCATGGATCATGACAAATGATAGCTACCATTAAGAAGACTGGGAATCCCAGAACCCTTAATGGTGCTCATGCAAAACCTGGGTATAGACCAAGAAGCAGTTCTTTGAGCAGAATAAATGAACACTGCATTGTTTAAAATCAGGAAAAGTGGCAGCCATTGCAGTACATTGAGCTCCATAGAGACAGCACCAGGCCAGGCAGAGCTGGACGCCATTGGATGACTCTGTGCCTCACGGACGAGAAACCATGGGTGAAGGAGATCCTAAGAAGCCGAGAGGCAAAATGTCATCGTATGCATTTTACATGCAAACCTGCTGAGAAGAGCACAAGAAGAAGCACCCGGATGCTTCTGTCAACTTCTCAGAATTTTCTAAAGTGTTCAGAGAGGTGGAAGACCATGTCTGCTAAAGAGAAAGGTAAATTTGAAGACATGGTAAAGACGGACTAGACCCATTATTAGAGAGAGGTGAAAACTTATATCCCTCCTAAGAGCAGGGAGGAAAAAAAAAAAAGAAGCTTAAAGATCCCAACGAGCCCAAAAGGCCCCTTTTGGCTTTTTCCTTGTTTTGTTCAGAGTTGTTGTTGTTTTTGTTATGCGCCGTCGAGTCGCTTGCGACTCATAGCGACCCTATGAACAACAGCCCTAAACTCTGCTCTGTCCTGTGCCAATCGCGCTGTCTCTGACACTCCCACCCCGATTATCCCAGTCGCTGAATCAATCCACCTCTTAGAGGGCCATCCCCTCCTGCGCTGTCCCTCCACCCTACCAAGTATGATGTCCTTCTCCAAGGACCAGTCTCTCCTCACAACATGTCCAAAGTATGCAAATGACACAACCCTGCTTGCTGAAACTGAAGAGGACCTGAAGCACCTGCTGCAGAGCATCAAGGACTGCAGCCTACAATATGGATTGAGGCTCAATGTCAAGAAGACAAAGATTCTCACCACTGGACCAACTGGCAGCATCAGGATGGATGGTGAAGAGATTGAGATTGTTCACAGCTATAGTTTGCTTGGCACCACAGTCTTGGCACCAGTAGCCAGGAAATTAAAAGGCGCATTGCCATAGGAAAGTCTGCTGTTAGGGACCTCTCCAAAGTACTGAAGAGCAATAGTGTCTCTCTGGAGACTAAGGTGCGCCTGATACAGGCCATGGTCTTCACAATCACTTGTTATGCATCAGAGAGTTGGACAATGACCAAGGAGGATAGAAGGAGAATTGATGCCTTTGAGCTGTGGTGCTGGAGAAGAGTATTGAGAATACCATGGACTGCTAGGAAAACAAACAGATTTGTCCTGGAAAGGGCTAAACCAGGTGGCTCCTTGGAGGCAAGGATTCTGAGGCTCCGTCTAACATACTTGGGACATGTTGTGTTGTTCAGAGTATTGCCCCAAAATCAAAGGCGAGCACCCTGGTCTTTCCATTGGTGATGTTGCAAAGACGCCGGGAGAGATGTGGAATAACACTGGATGACGAGAGGGACTACGAGAAGGCTGCTAAGCTGAAGGAGAAGGACGAGAAGGACATTGCTGCACGCAGGGCTAAAGGCAAGCCTCATGCAGCCAAAAAAGGGAGTTGTCAAGGTTGAGAAAAGCAAGAAGAAGAAGGAAGAGGAGGAAGATGAGGAGGAGGAGGATGAATAAGTTAGTTGTAGCGCAGTTTTTCTCCTCTTGTCTATAAAGCCTTTAACCCCCCTGTACATGACTCACTCCTTTTAAAAGAAAAAAAATGGCATGCAAGGCTGTGTAAGATTTGGTTTTAAACTGTACAGTGTCATTTTTGTGTAGTTAACACTCTACCGAATGTGTCTTTAGATAGCCCTGTCCTTGTGATATTTTCAATAGCCACCCACCTTGCCTGGTACAGTATGGGGGTTATAAATTGGCATGGAAATTTAAAGCAGATTCTTGTTGGTGCACAGCATGAATTATTTATATATGGGGATGGTAGGTTTTTGTTGGTTGTTTTTATTTTTCATCGTCAGTAGTTCTGTTAACTGAATACCACTCTGTAATTGCAAAAAAAAGAAAGAAAAACAAAGAAAAGTTGCAGCTGTTTTGTTGATATTCTGAGTGATTCTAAGTAAATAATTTTTTTTATTAGGGAAAAAATCAGGAAAATCGTGCATCAGGCTTGTTTCCTCCTCTATACCTTTTCAATCTATATGATGAGCAAATGATTTGAAAGATTGCACTACAAGAAGAAAAAGAAAAGGAAGATGGCATCTGGATTGGAGGAGGGCTCATTAACAACTTGCATTATATAAATGACACAGCCTTGCTTGCAGAAAATGAAGACTTGAAGCACTTCATGCGGAAGCTCAAAGACTATAACCTCAATATGGGTTCCAGCTCAACATTAAGAAAACCAAAAAAAACCCCTCACCACTGGACCAAGAGAGAGCATCACAATAGATGGAGATAAGATTGAAGTTAATTATTTGATTTTACTTGGGTCCACATGCAACACTCTTGGTAGCAGCAGTCAAGAAATCAAGAGATGTGTTCTATTGGAGGAATCTGCGGTCAGTAACCTATCCGAAGTTCAAAAGAGCCAGGATCTCTAAACACTAAGGTGCTCCTGATTTTCAGTTGTTTCCTATGCATTTGAATGCTGGTCAGTGAATAAGGAAGATTGACAACAAATTGATCTCTTTGAATTGTGATGGTGATCATAAAGAGTACTGAGCAGCACAGGGACTGCCAGAGAATAAACCACTCTGTCATGAAGGACGTGCAAGCAGAATGCTGAGAGGCAAGCATCTCGCTTCCCTTGGACTTACCTTTTCAGGATGAACTAGTTTTAAAGGCATCATGCTGGAGAGGCTCAGTTAAAGGGATGAGATCTCTCAAGGAGGTAAGTTGATTCCATGGTGACCATAAAAGACTTGTGCAAGACAGATTGTTAGGATGGTGCTAGAGAAGGCAAAAATTCAGGTCTATTGTTCACGTATCGATATGAGTCATAATGTGCACGTAACAACAACAACAACAAACAATAGACCTTACAAACCTCAATTTCTGTGATTTTTTTTTTTAAATTTAGTTTATTATTTTTTGTGTATGTACTGTCAAATCAGATCTGACTGGTACAGGAGGAAATTGTCCCTCCTTCTCCAGCAGAGCATCTGGTGGATTCGAACCATGTACCTTTGGGATTGCAATACAGTTTCTTGTCACTAGGCCACCAGAGCTCCCCAATTTCTGTGATCTTGAGACCAAAGTACTACATGATGTGTGAGTTCCTTTGCTGGCCTCTGTAAAAGGGATCACAATAAAGGGCCTTAATGATTGGATGGAGACTAGTAGTAGAACCCCCTTAGCCACTTTCAGCTCGGAACTGAACTAACTATGTGGCACAACTTGGAATATTACACATATTCCAAGACAGAATTTTGTTATCATACACATACTCAGGAAATGAAAAAAATTCCATGTACACCATTATACTAAAGCCATCTCTTTAACATAGCAAAGAAAATCCATTCCCAAATGGGATTATAAACACAAGTATAGGATTTAGGCTTTTACAAGGTATGCTTTTGGGAAACTCAGTTAAACCCATAAGAGACTGTAAGGAAGACTTTTGTGCTCCAATATTACAATGTGGTACAGATAGAATTTTGTACATGTCAGAGAATGAAACAAATGATTTCTTGAGAAGAAAGGATCTTGGCCTCACCTGGATCCAAGGAGAACTCATAATGTGGACATTCTCATTGAATTTTTCCATCATTTTAAGAAAATCCTTATCTTTATAATCAAAATGATTATGGAAAATAATGGAGCAGATCACATTGCAGGGAGCACAGCCCAGGATGAAAGTGGGATCACAGGGTGAACCTAAAGAATTGGAGACATTTTAAAAATACAGTCAAAATACATATATAAAACAGATGTCTTTGTTATCTAGGGCTGCTGTATCAGAAGTACCACTGGTGGATGATTTTAACAACTAAGAGTTTATTCACACAGTTTAGGAGGCTGGACGAACTTCCAGTCCAGGAGAAGACTTTCTCTGTCATTCTTTGGAAAGGACTTTGTGTTCTTTTCACACCTGTGAACTTAGCATCCTTTAGAGATCTCCATTTGTCTTGGGCTCAGTCTTCCCTTGAGTTTAAGAGATTCTCAGTGCAGGAGCCCTAGATCCAAAGAATGTGTTATGCTCCTGGTTCTCCTTTCTTGGGCAGAGTCCTGACCCTCCTCTGCTCACTTCTCTCTCAGCTCATGTAAGACAGCACATTATTCAGGCCGAACCCTGGGGAACTCCGCTCACATTGGACCAGGACTGTGGCCCGAGTTAAGGATGTTGCATCCCAACCCCAAGCACTTTGCAACTGATTGGCTGATCACATCACAGGAGATAATGACATAATTGCCAACTTATATCATTATCACTGAAAATCATGACAGCTAAGATGACATATATTTTTGTTTTTCTTCCGTGCTGTCCAATCAGAACCAACACACAGCTGACCTTTCAGTGGATTTTCAGAAGCTGTGAATGGCAAGGGAAGAGATTTCCTGTCTTTCTCCCAAAGAGCAATGGATAGATTCAAGCTGTCTGTTTTGGGGTTAGCAGTGCCCCTCCTCATCCACTGGGCCTCCAGTGCTCTTCCCATGGCATGCCGTCCTTGCCCTATCTCTAATTGTATCTTCTGGCCACGTGCAAACTTTCCCACCTCATCACATCATTCCAAAAGTCTTAAGTCAACTTCACATCCAAATTCCATTTTGAAGCAAAGTTCCTCTTCATCTGTGAATCTAGAATCAAGTTATTGGCTTCAAAAATGCAATGATGCAATTTGTACAAAACAGACTTTTCCAAAATGAAAAAAAAAATAAAGGAAAGAAGGAATAATGGAAGTTGAATAAATGGAAAAATTTATTAAAATAATTTCTATTAACTCTTAAGGCTTGAAAATTTTCTTCTGTTCTCTGAGACCTCTAGACTGTGGTCCTGAGCTCCAGACTATGAATGCTGGCCATCCTTTCTGGAAGTGGATGAAGACTATGTGGTCTTGCATTTCAGATCTGCCTTTCAGGTCCTGGAATGACAACTTGCTTCCCCAGCTTTGGCAACCTCACTCTCTGTCCTATCTAAGTAGAAGTGAACTTATCCCTTCAGCCTTTAAAGGCCCAGTTTTCTGTTTCTTGAACAGACACCTGTCCTCTCCCTCTCCCCCTACTGGGCAATAGATCTGGTTCCATTACCCTGGCACTTATGAATGCCAAGTTCATGCTACTGAAAAAAGTTACTGAAGCTCTGACATTTTGAAACCAAAAAGGTTGTTGTTAAGTGCTGTCCAGTATGACTTATCAGACCTTAGGAACAACAGATCTGAACTCAAGTCCTATCTCACACTTTCTGACACACTAGAGCCCATTGCAGCAGTCATTGTGTCAATCCATCTGGTTGAAGGTCTTCTTCTCTTCTGCCATCCCTCCATCTTTCCAAGCATGATATCCCTCTCTAAGAAGCAGCCTTTCTTAGCAACATGCCCAAATTATGTGAGATCTTTTTTGCTTCAAAGGAACATTCTGGCTGCACATTCTCCAAGACTTATTTCTTTGTGCTTTTGGCAGTCGATGGGATATTCACTATTCTTCTCCAATACCAACTTAGAAAATTCTTTTTCTGTCATATTTATTCACTGTCCAGCTCTCAGATGCATAGCAAGGGAAGAGAAAGACAATGGCTGAATCAACCTTAGTCCTCAAACTGACATCATTGTCCCTCAATAATTTGGAGAGGTCCCTAACCGCAGACTTTCCCAGTGCAATGCATCTTCTGATTTCCCAATTGCTGGTATGAAGTGAGTTGATTGTGGATCCAAGTAAGATGAAACTGTTGACAACTTCAATCTATCATGATGTTACCTATTGGTCCAGTGGTAAGAATTTTTGGCTTTTTGAAATTGAGATGTAATCCATATTGATGGTTGTATTCTTTGATCTTTTGCAGCAAGTGCTTGAGGTCCTCACTTCCAACAAGAAAGGTATGTCATCTGTATAATGCAGGCTAATAATGAGCCTTCCTCCTGTCTTGATGCTATATTCTTAATAGTGTTCAACTTCTGGAAAATTTGCTTGGATCATAATTATTACTGTTCAGTATCTTCATACTTTTCCAGCCTCTACTCACTACCCGTTCCAAAGTTGCTTTCACCATTTAGGTTCTATTAGAGCAGCACGCCATTCTTCTAGTACCAAATTCTGTTTCAGTTATCTAGCCCTGTTAGAAGGAGCTGTGGTGATGTAATCTACAGGCAGTTGCCCTGAAAATGCAAAGTCCAGACCTCTCTGTGATCTAAATCCAGCTGCTTTGAGAAAGAAAGATGGAAAGTCTCCTCCTATGTAATTTAGAGCCTCAGAAACCCAATTGTGGGGGCCGGTGGGGGGCGGTCAATTGGGAGTTGTTTTGACACAATGGAAAAGAAGAGAGAGTGTGCTCTGTTTTGGTAACAGAAATACCATAAGAAGGTGACTCTAACACAAAGAGTTTATACTTTAACAGTTTAGGAAGCAAAAGGTCCAAATGCGGAGATCCAACTCTCTAAGCTGGTATTTTCTCCTTTGGCTTTGGGGAAGATACTTGTCTCCTTTCAACATCTATGGGCTTGATGTCTCTTGGAAGTCCCCATGTGTCTTGAATTCATTCTTCCCCTGTGCCTAACAGGTTCTCAGTTTTGGGATGTTGGATCAAAAGCACATGTTCCTTTCCTGGCTTCTTTCTTAGTAGTAGTGCCTCCCTACTTATCTGCTGACTTCTTGATCATGTAATCTATCATTTAAGATAAAAAGTGATGCATCTACACATGAGAGAAAAAAATGCCTTTACCTTGGATTAAGGCTATGACTTATGTAAGGGTCTCACATTGCACTCTAATTCTCTTAAATGATTGTCTTAGCATATCTCAGTTACCATCATAGGAGATAATTACATAACTGAGATGCTTTCTTTTTGTGGGGGATCTATATTGTCTATATTGATATAGACAATATATTACAAGTATACATATCCATATTTATAGATGTAATTGAAGATTAGGAAGCTTTGATGGCCTAGTGGCAAGTAGCTGTGCTGCAATCTCGAAGGCACACAGTTCAAGGCCACCAGGTGCTCTGTGGAAGAATGGGCAATCTCCTTTCTCTGAAAACTCACTGGAGGGTCAGCTATGGAACAACGATTGAAGATTATTTAACACTGGATTGAAGAAATGATAGAGGATAGCTGTTGACTAACTGCTCCTCTGTCAGGTAGCATTTAAGCTGAAAATGGAAACATTCCAGGGCTCCTAGCTTTCAGAAATAATTATTTTTGCTAAGGAATTGGAGATGCTTTTGAAGTCTAAGGGATTGCTTTGTTATTCACCGCTACAATCTGATTTTCAGTACTCTGCTCTCCTTTCCTTTCACTTGAAAAGAATGAAAAACCAGGGAAATTTAGAAAACAAGTTGAAAAATCACAGCCAATGTTACAAAGACTTTACAGGCCAGTAGAACTTCCAGTGGGAAGTAAATATTTACCATAGATGTTATAACCTAAAATCCCATTATGGAGGAGGATATGTAAATATAGAAGAAAGTCCACTTAAAGTTAGGAAAGAGGATAAAAAGCTATCATAAGCTGAAATCTCTTTAAGTAAGAAATTTTATGTACTGGGTCCACTTGATAAGTGTGTATACCCGAAAAGCATTCTACAGAAATGTTCAGGAATAAGTATCCCACAATAATATTATGCTTTATAACTCCTTGAGAAAATGAGATACTAAATTTCCCATCTTCAAGACTTTCTCATTTGAGAACAAATAAGCAAAGTTCAGAAAGAACGAGACAGAGTCTTTCAAAAAGTGTACACAATCACAAGTACACACACACACACACACACACACATACACACTATATGTACACAGATATTCTCTTGTTCTCTTCTTCAAAGCCATTCTCCTCCACCTGCATTCTGATAGGATGTACTCAAAAGGAAAGGCTTGGAAAAAAGAACAATCTGTTAAGGTCACAGATGCAGAATAATCACTCACCGTTGGTTTTTCTCAACTCCTTCACAAGAGTGCAGGCTTCCTGCTGGACACTGTCCTCAATGCTCCTCTTCCCCATGCCGAAATTCCGCAGGGTCATAAGGGAGAAACGTCGAAGATCCTTCCATCTCTTTCCATTGCTGAAAATGACTCCTACAAAGAGAAATTCCAGAGAGTGAAAAGGAGATCTTTGGTGAAGAAGAGGACACTGATTTCCACAGCCACAGGGCTAGGTCAACTGTTCGGTGTCTATCCAGGCCTTCTCAGCCTCCATTGCCAGTGGCTGAGGCTTTCCTGCACATGCTTACCGAATTTGTCACTAGCTTTTTCAGCCAGTGGAAAACTTCCTCTTCCTGCAAACTCTTCTCCTTGATCAATCAAGGCTTCCTTCACTGCTTCATACCCATGCAATATCACTGTGGGCTTCATGCCAAAATACAGAGTGAACACGGGACCATAGACTTTGGAAAGCTGGTAAAAGAAGATGAAAATATTAGTTTAAGAAGTCACTATATATAGAGGACCTATACAAAGAAAACTACACAAAATTTTTGTGAGACACAATAAAGGACCTAAGTAAATGGAAAAGTGTTCCCTGTTCATGGATAAGAAGACTCAATATTGTGAAAATGACAATCCTACCCAAAGCGATCTACATGTTGAATGCAATCCCAATACAGATGCCAGATTCATTTTCCTATGAGATTGAAAGGGAAATAGAAAAGGTCATTTAGAGAGGAAAGAGACCTTGAATAGGCAAAGCACTTCTGAAAAATGAAGTGGGAGACATAGCACACACCCTGACCTCAAAACCTACTACCCAGCAGTAGTAATCCAAACAGTATGGTACTGGTACAATGACAGGTACATTGGTCAATTGAACAGAATTGAGAACCCAGAAATGGACTCTTCTATCGACAGTCAACTAATGTTCAACAATGAAATAAAGCCTTTCAAATGGGGAAATGACAACCTCTTCAACAAATGGTGCTGTCAAAACTGGACTGCTACCTGCAGAAAGCTGAAGCGGGATCCACGTCTCACACCATACACAACAATAAACTCAAAATAGATCAGAGACCTGGGAATAAAGCCCCAAACCATAAAGTTCATAAGAAACAAACTGGGATAAAGCTTAGAAGGCCTAGTCTACAGTATAAAGAGACTGCCAAACACAGCCAGAAATACACAATCTGGAGAGGATAAAAACTGATGAATGGGACCGTCTAAAGATTAAATCTCTGCTCATCAAAATCTTTTTCCAATAGGGTGATGTCTACTGACTGGGAACAAACTTTTGACAATACCATCTTAGACAAGGGTCTCATAACAAAAGTTTACAGAATACTCCTGAGCGTCCAGAAGAAAAAGACTGGTACTCCAATTACAAAATGGACAAGAGACATGGAAAGCCTTTTCACAGAGGAGGACATTTGCACGGCCAAATATATGAAGATATGTGAAGAAATGCTCAAAAATCACTGGCAATAAGAGAGATGAAAATCAAAACCACAGTGAGATACCCCAGTAGCAGTGGCAAAGTTAGCAGGGCAGCAAGTAATAAATATTGGAGAGGATGTGGAGAGATAGGAAATCTTATACTTTTTTTTTGTGGGATTATAAAATGGTACAACCATTCTAGAAGGCATTTTGGCATTTGCTTAAAAAGCTGAACATAGAAATTCCATATGATCCAGCTATTCCACTGCTTGGAATATGCTGTTGTTAAGTGCCGTTGAGTCATAGCGACCCTATGAAGGAAAATCCTCAACACTTGTGTGTCTTTCATCCTCTCTCCAGGTTCATAGGGTTTCCAGAGGCAAGCTATTACGGAAGTGGATAGCACTCCTGCTTCCAAGCTTGTTTTAATCAGGGAGCTTCACCCAACACTGTCCGCCATGGGTAACCAACCATTAATGCATTTGACACATCAGTGTCACAGTGTTCAGCCTCACAGCAACCATAAGTGAGGCACAAACAGAGACTTGTACATTAGTGTTCATAGCAGCATTATTCACCATTGCAAGTATGTGGAAACAGCCCAAATGTCCAACCACAAATGAATGGATTGAGAAATTATGGTACATTCACGCAATGCAATTTTATGCAATATGCAGGAGCAATGATTTTGTAAATTATTACCTAACTTGTGAGGGACTGGAGAGCATTATGCAAGTGAACTAACTCAGTCTCATAAAGACAACTACTGTATAAGACCATTATTATAGAATGAGTATGAGGATCCAAGGAGGGGAGGGGGGAATAGAGAGGATGGGTGGGAGGGGGCATTTATCATAGGGTTGCACAATTTGCTGGGCGAAGGGAGGGGTGAGTAAATAAAAGGGGAAATATCTGCTGTGAAAAACAATGTAAATGAACTTTATTAACTTTGTAAGTGAACCAGTATAAAATAAAACTTAAAAAGTCACTATATGGATATTAATATTTAGACATTGTTGGGTGTTTTATTTTGCTACAGAAGGCTTCAAATATTTCTCATTTTTCTATGTTGTTATGTGCTGTGGAGTAGTTTTCTATATAGTTTCTTAAAATGTAGCTTAGTTTTATATTTTTCTATACACTTTTGATGGCAATTGTTAAGATCTCCATTTAAGGATAGCCTCCAAAGTGCCAGGCAGTGCCCTGGGCACTGGGTCTGTACTTTATTACAACTAATCTTGATTTCAACACCTTGAGTATGCTGTTTATTTACCACAGTTTCACAAAGGAAAAACCTGAGGTTCAAAAAATTTAGTTTCTAGTATCCCAGAGCTAGCAAAAGACCTATATTAAAACCACCCCTAATGAACAATGTATTAATCCCAAATGCCCATCTTTGTACTAACATCCAGAAGACTGATAGGGGTTCATTCGTAAAGCTGTCCTGATGGAGATTCTAGTCAGTACTTTTGTGATGGATACTAGAAATCTATTTTTTACAATCACCCCAGTTGATTCCAAGCCCACTTCAGGCTGAGGTCTATAGGCATCATTAAACAGAGAGCAGGCAACACAGAGTCTGTGACAGGACAGGCAGCATCTCATACAGTATTTCTTATATGCTGCAGTATTCCTAGGCCACAGATGGCAGTCTTCACTGAAATTAGAAAGATACTTTCACTACCAGGGACTCCCTGATAACTATATTTCATTCACTGTTCCCTTGACATCATACACAACCTGCTTTTCTGGATAAATGTTTTCTTGGATAATCTTGAACAAAACACATAGTTTATATGGTAAATAGTTTATGAAATCTCTAATCTCTACTTTGATCCAGAATGTCATAGCAAATATTGTGAAACAGCAAAAGATAACAGCAATATTCTCTATTGCTATGTCACCTTTTCACTTTCTTCATTTGCTCCTATCTTATAATCATCCTAATAGTTCTCTTTTCCACAAATGCATGACTTTCTCCCTCTATTTCTGGTGGTGACAGATTAATAAAAGCAACAGAAACAGCAATAACTCACAGGAAGCATTTGGTTTTACGAAGACATGCATTTCTGTTTTCCTCTAATGTAAGGATGGATTTACTTCCCTTTGCGTGCCCCCAGAGGAGTATAAGATATACTTACATTGCTCAAAGATTTGCTGATATTCTTTACATTTAACTGCAGGACATTTCCGATGATTGGGAGTGGAGTGGGGCCAGGTGGGAGCTTCCCTTTCCCATGGCTCTGTTTCCAGAGTAAAACAAGAAGGAAAGAGGAGACACATACTACCAGGACCACAACTAGATCCATTGAAGCCTTCTGTTCTTACTAAGGCAACTCTAGCTTCTCATTTCTCTAATACTCCTGCCACTTAACTTATGATTATGATGTACACAGTAGCTAAGCATGCAAATTTCTTGTAATTCCTTCTGGACTTTGCTTACTGATAATAATCAGAATAACAATTTAATTTTGTTCCCAGAGCTAGGGTGGTACAAACATTTTGCAACCTGTTGCTTAGGTCCAGGTATCTACTGCTTAAAGATTAACTAAAACTCAGTTATTGATGTTAAGTCAGAACTAAGTTATAGTCCACCCTCCAGTGGGGTTTCAGAGACTGTAAATAGCATGGAAGGAGATTGTCCATTGGAATAACCAGAAAGACTTTTGGGTGATCACCTCCCTTTGAACTGTATCACTAGAGCTTCCTTTCTTTAAATATCATTGTTGTTGTTGTGTGCCTTCAGGTTGGAACCTACCCATTGCTGATCCTCCAGTCAGTTTTGAAAGGCACTTACTCTTATGGGTGGAGATTGTCCATCCTTCTGTGGAGCAGCTGGTGGATTTGAACAGTGTGCCTTCAGGATTGCAGGGCAGCTTTTTATCACTCTGCCAGCAAAGTTCTCTCTCTTTTTTTAAAATTTAATTTAATTTTATTATTTTTTTTAGTCTGTACCATCAAATTTGATCTGACTGGTACAGGAGGAGATTGTCCCTCCTCCAGCTGAGCATTTGGTGAATTCAAACAGCGTACCTCTGGGATTGCAGTGCAGCTTCTTGCCACTAGGCCACCAGAGCTCACCCAGAGTTCTCTTTAAAGATTAGGGTGAAGAAATCCCCACTCAGCAATTCTGTTCATTAGTTCTATTAATGAATAGAATAATTCTATGCATTAACTGTAATGTATGTGGTTACCATGAATAGCAGTTCACCTGTTGACAGACAAGTGGTTTTATCATTTGCTTTCTAATTTTACTCTTTTCTTTTCAAGTCACCACCATGGAGACTTTGACTTAACTGGAATAAGATCAGGTATAGAAACTGGCAGTATCTTTTATTTTTAAAATTATTATTTTTATTGAGTTTATACACAACAATGCATACAATTCGATAACAGTCATATAGATAATTCAGTGACATTAATTACATTCTTCAATTGTGCAGCTGTTCTCATTCCTTTTCCTGAATTGTTCCTTCTCTGTTAGCATGAACTCACTGCTCCTTAAAGTTGTTATATAGTCTCTCAAGGTGCTTTTATCTGTTTGAGCCCATGTAACTAGATCTTGAAGGTGCACTTGATGCTCAAGTCAGGAATTCTTTGGTAGTTTCAGGGGATATTTTTGGTTTAAAGATTATCTCAGGGCAATCGTTTTAAGGATTAATCCTCGAAAGTCTGGAGTTTCAAGAAATTAAAATCTTGTTTGCATAGCCACCCCCCCCCCCGTTTTTTAAGATTTTTTTTCTTTTATTATTTTTGTGTAAGTGTACTGTCAAATCAGATCTGACTGGTACAGGAGGAGACTGCCCCTCCTTCCCCGGCAGAGCATCTGGTGGATTTGAACCGTACATCTCTGGGATTGTAGTTGCAGCTCCTTGCCACTAGGCCACCAGAGCTCTCCTGTGCATAGCCCCATTTTGATCAGAATTCTATGGAATCTTTTACCAAAATATCCAATACTAGCCAGGCACCATTTTTTTGCTATTTCCTTCAAAGCAGCTTGAACTTCTTCCTTCATCACCATAGGCTCTTGCTCATATGTTATTTCTTTAACTTCCTCTGTATTTGCCAATTCCTTTCTATATAATGACTCCGTATATTCCTTCCATCTTCTTTTAATACTTCCTGGATCATTTAATATTCTGCCCA